CTACCGTCTGGTTATCACATTGTGTTCACGTCACGCGTCATCTTATTTTGATACCTTTTAATTCCTCCTAAATACATTGAAATAAGGTATTCGTCTTTTCCCTTTTGTGCGGTATTCGGTATTCCGAATATCACGCTCAGTCTATCGTGGAGTATCGTCTGGTTATCACATTGTGTTCACGTCACGCGTCATCTTATTTTGATACCTTTTAATTCCTCCTAAATACATTGAAATAAGGTATTCGTCTTTTCCCTTTTGTGCGGTATTCGGTATTTCGAATATCACGATCAGTCTATCGTGGACTACCGTCTGGTTATCACATTGTGGTATATTCACTTTGTATATATTTCGCATTCAAATCATTCTTGTAAATATTCGTACACTTGACGCGTTTATAGTAAATATTATAAACAATATCTACCGGAGTTCATTTACTTCGTTTGTGTTAGTGAGTGAAGTCTCTACCAACCACCGCAATCACTAGGGGGGGGGGGGTGCTCTTCGAGATCGTTTGGGGCTACGCTCCCTCGATTTTCGCGCCAACAGAACGCGGTTCTCCTGGGCGAATTTATTACGTTTTGGGGGAGTGTGGAGGAGTTGAAGACGTTTCGAGGGTTCTTTGGGGGAGGGAAGCGTGCCGCTGGGGAAGGGAGGGCATGTGAGCTTGGGGGAGGATGTCTTGGTACAGGATGGGGGATTTTGGGGTTTGACCGCAGTTTTATTTAACGACGCTCGAGTTTTGAACATTAGGGTGTTATGTTTTCCATGTTTCCATAACAGTATTTTTATTTATTTTTTGCTATAAACCGTTGCATTAAATATTTTGTTTTTTTGTGTTAAAAACAGTTTTTGATATAGGTAAACACAATAATATGGCTGTGCTTTGTGCGTGAGATAATAGGGAAGATGAAAAATAAATAAAATTATTCATTTTTTTAGTGTAAATTCAATCTCAAGAGGTTTTTATTAATATTAAATGATGTAGATCAATTTTTGATATTATCTTATTTTAATGTTTACGGGATTCTGATTGGATCATTCAGTTAGTATGTTATTACTCAGCGATATAGAAAAATAATTATTCCTATATTTCCAATTTGAAATTCTGTTTCTATAGGTGAAGTTGAAGATTTTCGGGTATAATGTTGAAAAAAATTGAAATTCCACGGACAGTCGACTAATAATTTTCGGGAGAGACATCACGACGACAAAATTTCATTGAAAAACGTAGCGAATTCGCTAGAAAATTCATTTTGATTTTTAGGGAAGTTTTTTGCAGTATTTGGTGGATTCTATTAAACAATTTTCCAGCTCGTCTGCGCATTTTATTTAATAGAAATTATCCATGGAGACCATTCTATTAATTTTTTTAAATGCAATTACAGCATTATAAAATTCTCATTAAGTGCCAATAAAAATTCAATGAAATTTCATAGAAAAACCGGCGAATCTTGCCATTAAATTTTTTCGCAGAATGTAATTTGAATGCGCGTTGTTTATTCTTTACTCTATCTTCATTATTTTATTTTTCTCCCGCAAATTTGTTGCGAATAGTGTGAGTATGACACACAACTCGGTTCACCTTTTCTCATCAGAAAGCCTTTGTCATTTATTCGTCCTGAAATAATCAACCTCTTTTTCTCGTTTTCTACAGAGGATGAGAGTCGTTTTGCGGGTGATGTAGCTCGTATTATTCCACTTCGCTTGATCGTGCCCACCTCGTTTCCGCGTTTGCTGCGCAACATGGCGATTATGGCTGTTTCTTGCTCCCTCTCTCTCTCTCATCGACCCTTCAGTTCCTTTTTTCTGCTGCAGGAATTGTGCACGACAGCGTCAGTTAAACAGCGAACATATACTGAGAATTCCAATTAGTCGTCGTTCGAAAGTTTACGAATGGAATTGTGGTGGTATTAATTGCGAGGTTTAAGCTGTCGAAGATTATAGCATTGTTATTGAATGAAAACGTCGCAATTTAAAGTGTAGAATTCAGGAAATTGCAACGACAGGTCGTCTTCAGATAATTGCACAAGTCAATTATAATTGATGTCTGATTTTTGTGAACCATGTTTGCTTTTTTTTATTTTGCTACATTCCAACGACTCATCTACCATTTTTAAAAATATTTACTATTCTTCCTCGTTTTTATTATGTCATTATCTTCATTCTTTATAATTCATTCTTATTATTATAGAAAAAAAAATTATGCTATCCCAAATATAAAAAAAGACATGAATCCACTTGAAATATAAATTTAAATTAATTTTATTTGTAAGAAGAGTCTCTGGGTTATACCCAAGGGAAAGATTTGAACTAGTCTGACTTAAATCCCGTGACATCCCTATTTACAAAATTATTAAAAAGTGTTAAAATTCAGGAAATTACTGTCTTGAATGTTCAATAAATTAGAATTAAAACTGAAAATTCAAGTTGTTATTGACAAATTAATGACTTCACATAAAAGCCTCAATTGTAGAATTTCCAAGATGAAAAAAAATCATAAAGTTCGATCCCGGATTAAATTCCAGTTTCACAAAATGAAAAAAATGTTCCCCAAAAAAACAATTTCAGAAATGAATGCCCTTGCAATATAAATTCAAATTAATTGTGCACCAATCAAAAGATTACGAACCGCCGTGTTATTTTCACCAAGTCAAGTGTAAAAGAATTAGATGATCGGCATTAGGGGTCCCAGAGTGGACAATTTAGATTTTATTTGTAAGAAAAGTCTCTGGGTTATACCCAAGGGAAAGATTTTAACTAGTCTGACTTAAATCCCGTGACATCCCTATTTACAAAATTATTAAAAAGTGTTAAAATTCAGGAAATTACTGTCTTGAATGTTCAATAAATTAGAATTAAAACTGAAAATTCAAGTTGTTATTGACAAATTAATGACTTCACATAAAAGCCTCAATTGTAGAATTTCCAAGATGAAAAAAAATCATAAAGTTCGATCCCGGATTAAATTCCAGTTTCACAAAATGAAAAAAATGTTCCCCAAAAAAGCAATTTCAGAAATGAATGCCCTTGCAATATAAATTCAAATTAATTGTCCACCAATCAAAAGATTACGAACCACCGTGTTATTTTCACCAAGTCAAGTGTAAAAGAATTAGATGATCGGCATTAGGGGTCCCAGAGTGGACAATTTAGATTTTATTTGTAAGAAAAGTCTCTGGGTTATACCCAAGGGAAAGATTTTAACTAGTCTGACTTAAATCCCGTGACATCCCTATTTACAAAATTATTAAAAAGTGTTAAAATTCAGGAAATTACTGTCTTGAATGTTCAATAAATTAGAATTAAAACTGAAAATTCAAGTTGTTATTGACAAATTAATGACTTCACATAAAAGCCTCAATTGTAGAATTTCCAAGATGAAAAAAAATCATGAAGTTCGATCCCGGATTAAATTCAAGTTTCACAAAATGAAAAAAATGTTCCCCAAAAAAACAATTTCAGAAATGAATGCCCTTGCAATATAAATTCAAATTAATTGTCCACCAATCAAAAGATTACGAACCGCCGTGTTATTTTCACCAAGTCAAGTGTAAAAGAATTAGATGATCGGCATTAGGGGTCCCAGAGTGGACAATTTAGATTTTATTTGTAAGAAAAGTCTCTGGGTTATACCCAGGGGAAAGATTTGAACTACCGTTTGACATATAAATCCCGTGACGTATCTAATTGGGGGGCACTTTAGCGATGGGGCGGGTACTGGAGACGGGGGATATAAGGCTAGTAAAGCCCGATGCTCGGGGAGAGACCGCTGCAGATCACCCTGGGCTTAATAACTGACGGTGAATCTCGGCACAACTCACACACTACCGTATATCGCCACATGTACGCCGCTCTGGTGCTCTCTATATGTCGTTACCACTGTGCCACCCTCTGCAGTCCTTCGTGTGGGTTTAGAACAGTGGCCGATACTTACACGCGCTTCTCTGTGTACACATGTTGGTGATATACACTTAGGACGCATTGCCAGAGCCATCCGGGGATGGGGGGTATATAGAATACGGGGCTCGCTGTATCTCGGAGTGAATCCAGCGTAAATAATGCCGATTATCCCCTCGGCAATTGTTTTATCGAGCGCATTGTATATGAGAGAGGAAGAGAGACAGGGAGAGAGCAGCACTGTAGCTATGTGTTACCGAGGCTTTTCTCTCGGTTATCTTATTTTATCCCGCTGGAATTTAGATTGATACGAAGAAAGAAAATCCGGAGGAAGAATAGTTCTGGGGAGGCAATTTGGAGCGGTTGTAATGCCTCGTAAATTGTCTGGAGAGAATTTCGAATTAAAATAAGAAGATAGTTTTGCTGTAAAGTGGAAATTTGTTGGAAAAGTAATTTTTTTAGCTTGATTTTTTTAAGGGGAGGCGAAAGAGTGGAACCTTCACCTTATTTTACAATCTAAGAATTAATTGGGTAAATTTTATCTATAATTAAAGTGGGGTTAAGGTTGTATAGGAAAAGAAAAATTATTTTGAAATAAATTTTGAGTCGTCAATTTTTTTCACGATTGAAAAATCAAGTCCAAGATTTTTTCCAGTTGGAAGAATTTGAATAATTTTTCAGATTTAGATTGAGATAGAGAAATCGTCAGGAAAATAATTAGGATATTATTTAATGTCTTGTAAAGTCTTTTTAAAAGGCAATTATTCAGTAGAGTTAAAATTTGTTGAAAAACAATTTTTTTGTTTCGTTTTAATTGGAATTTTTTTCTCTAGATAATAGATTTAAAAAAAATGGAGTTTCAATTCATTTCACAATTTGATAATCGCGTGTATATTCAACTGTCGTTTTCTATAATTACATTACAAATTAAAGCAATATAAATTGCATGAAATAAATTCTCAATGGAAAAAAAATTTTGCCTCAAATTTCAATTCCACAATTTTTTTATAAATGAAAAATTGCCTTCAAATTTCCCCACTCCGACAATGTTAAGAGTACTTGTATTGCCCAATATCTGAAACCAAAAATTATGTTTAAATAAATTAATAAGAGTCGAGCCCAGCAATACTGCAAGGCTGGGTCAACTCGCGATAGACCCGGAGCAAGCTCCAAAATCCATCTAGTCCCAAAAAACAGTTTAATATTCTGACTCCCCAATGGGGAGTGTATCAGATATTAAGCTGATAAGAACAGATACTACACTTTTGATCTTAGCTCAAGAGAGCCGAGAAGCGATGCCCGCAGTTCGTTCCGCAGCCCATTTATCGCCTAAAAATTACTTCAGGACTTGGAGAAACCCTGCGACACCTGTTGGCGGCGCGCGGCACCACTGTCCCCCAGTTGGCGCGTCACTTCGAACGCGCGGGATCCTCTCGCCGCGTCCCGCTCAGCCACACATGCGCGCAGTTCAAATCTATCGATCAACATGAGCAAACAGTAGTTACGGCGATAAAAATTCTGAAAAATATTCCGCGAAACGGAGATAAAATCCCGTAATCTCAGATGATTTCACGGTTAAGACCCTCGTGGTGGGCGTAAAAAGCAGATGGCGAGCGACGAATTGTTTTTTACATCATCCCTTTCTTTTTCATATTCTTGTCCACTCCTGGCTCCGCAACCCCAACGAATTCTCCGCCCCAGCTAACGACTAAATAAGTCCTTCCAATTAAAAAAGTCATTTCGATTAGGAGTCCCCACGTAGCCATTTAGCATCGTAACCGGGCGAGTGTGGAGTGAGGGGATAAAAATTTGAATGTCTCGGTTATCGACGTGCCGTCTACCCGGGGGCCATTTGACAATTATGGAAAAAACGTGGAAGGTTAAAATGTGTACACAAAGACGCCCTTTCCCTTGTTCTCGACGTAATCGGGGGAATAATGATACGCTGGGGTGTACACAATCCACCTCCTTACATCCCGGGATAATGAAAATCATGATAACGCGGGAGCTCCTCAATGTTGGGGAGCAATGCATTCACTATATCGGGGAGCAAGACGACATTATCATTTAGCCGGTTGGATCACTGTGATAATCTCCTCGTGAGTGGAGTGAGGACTGCGACGGGAAAAAAATGCAGTGGAAAGATTTTCAAATGCACTCTTGGAATTTTTTGGAAATTTCAGCGACGGATAGTTTCGAATTCTTGATTTTGGGAATTTGAAAATTCGGCGGCATTTAGTGGTGAATATTTGTTTTTGTAGTTAGGGTTATGGTTAAAAATTTGGTATTGCATTGAATTTTCAGTGAATTTGAAATTCTATTTTCGTCTTCTTTCATTTTTTTTCTATCAGTGTAATAAATCTTTCGAAAAATGCGGGCGCGAGATAGAGAATAATGAAAGGAGGCAATTACTGAAAATTTCCATCATGGGACAGTTCAAAACGAAAAGTCAAAGTTTAATTGATTTAAAAAAAATGGAAACTGTAAATTTTTGTTTAATTATTCCAATAAATATATTCTTGAAATTTTAATTTATTGAAAATTCAGCACAATTTTGTACTCAATATTTATATTCTCAATTATATTTATTATCAACAATTTTGAAATTGCATCGAATTTTCAGGGAAATTTGAAATTTCACTTTCTACCTGCAATCGAATTTTCCATTTTCCTCTTCTAAAAATTAAAACACAGAGATTAATTAAGAAATCAAAACGTTAACTATTTTAATTAATTTAAAAAAATAGTTAATTTAGTTGATTTTTTTATCAACTAATTTTATTTTAATTATTTCATCTAAATTAATAGAAATCAGAAAAATTCAAATAAATATATTCTTAAAATTTTAGTTTTTTGAAAATTCAGCGTAATTTTGTACTCAATATTTATGTTTTAATATTTATATTGATAATTGAAAAATTTGAAACTGTATTGAATTTTCAGTGAAATTTGTAATCTCCTTCTCTGCCAGCTATCAAATTCCATTTTGCTACTCTAAAAATTAAAATTCGACTGTCCCTGAAATTTCAATTTTTTTTCTAACAATGCAACAAACAACAAATCCATCGAAGAAAACAAAAAATGTTAAAACGAGATAGTGAACACATGAAAGGAGTCGGGAGTCGAAAATTCCGGTGGACTCTTCTGCACGGGTTACAACGTGTTTCACACATCGGAGAGACTTTCGCCCACGCTCGTACAAATATATATATAATGCGGCATTAGAATAACAAATAGATGGCTCCGCGGCTGTATCCACGTCCGCGGTCCCCGGGGAGTCCGAGTTTCGTACAGACGTGTCTGTGTGTGCGCATCACAATATGCAAAGTTGAAGGAGGGAATGGGAAAAGGTGACTATGAAATTAGGCAAACTTACTAATATCGCTATTATCATAAAATTTAAAAAATCGCTATTATCATATTACTAGCGGACAGGAAAAAATGTTTCAGTCAAGATCATTTTTTATCTTCGAGAATTTGACGAGATTGAATAGTGGCGATAGTGTAATTGAGAGGTGTGGGAAATTTTATCCCGAATTGAAGAAAGACTTGTTTTTTCGAGGGGCAAAATATTTTTTTTTACTTTGAGGTTGAGTCGCTCGCCTCGTCAGATGGTAGAATTTTTCACATTTACTCAGAGTCAGAGATTTGGACTTTATTTTTCGCTGGAATTATTTTTTATTGTGGAGTTCTACATTCGATTTTCTGTCAGAAATCCTTGGAGAATATTTTTTAAATTTGGAAATGTAGGGATTATACGCTTTGTGGGAGATAAAGTTATGAAATTATTGAAAATTTTTTTTGAAGTTTATGTCCATTTTCGCAAATAATTTATAGACGATAAATTTTTTATTCTTAAATCCCTTTTTTGAATCCTAACGAATTCATCAGGAATTAATTTAGTGGAAAAAAATTTGCGGAGGGTTGAAAAATTTTTAATTTACGTTGTAAAAAATACCGAAAAATTTAAATTTCATTTGGTATTCAAAAAATAAATTGATTTGTCAGCAATAACATGCACCGTCAGAAATTATTTAAATTTCATAACTTCATTGAATTGTCAATGGAACATGAATATTGAGAAACAAGATAAAATGAATTTCTAATTTTTCCCTGAATTTCCTTGATTTTTCCGGATATTCATGGAGTAAATGGAATGAATTCCGCGGAAAATCAATGGAATCTTTCATTTTTCAATGACAAGATTTCCGGAAATTTCAGTGGAAATTAACCATTCTAAAAATTTCCGGACTTCAACCGGAAAATTCAGTCAAAAATTTTCACCAGAAACGAATTTTGTGTACGGAATTTCCACGTTCACGACAAACGAGACGATGAAAAATCTCCAAATCTCCAGAGTGTCACCGACCAGAGCCGTAAAAGGCACTTGAATCCCCCAAAAAAATGTTATCCGACCACCTCCTCTCCTCTCCCAATCGAAAACCAATTTTCCCCATGTTATCATTGAAAACATCCAATAGACCCACCTTTCACCATTAAAAAAGAAACACGACGAGTCACGCCCTGTTATCCCCGATGAATTCCCGCTGTAAGGCACGAGCCCCCCCAGTAACAGTCAAGTGGCAGTGAAAAGGGTAAACACGGACGTCACGGTAGCGAACATTAGCATCTCGAGTAGAAAGCCATAACGAGGCGAAGATGTCGAGGAAAAACATATCCCAAAGAATTGAATAAAAAAGCCTCCAACATTTGAGAGATATCCGTCGGCTCCCAAGACGCTCAAGAGGCCCCACCGGCCCGTATCATCGCCCTCCATTGGCGCCAGTCAGTGCACTTAACCAACAAGTGTAACACGAAGAATCCCCCGGAGACTCGATAATCCCAGTGTACAGAATAAAGATAATCAGATGAAAGAACAACCCACCCTAATAAACGTGTGGGTTTCAACCACATCATGCATTCGAAGAAGATCTTGCAGCTCGTGACATACGACATCGGGGACTTGACATCGAAACACGTGTTATGGGGTCGTGGGCTGGTTGCCCTATGAATAACCCATGGGACAATATGCAAAACCAATCGGACATTATACGTGCCCCGACGGCAGTTTTCCAACAAAAAGTCTAGAGTCCAAAATAAAGAGGAAAATGTTTCCTCTCTTGATTTTCAGATCATTCGAACAGAAAATCAATGGAATCGTTCATTTTTCAATGACAAGATTTGCGAAATTTTACTGGAAATTAAACTTGATCAACATTTTCGGAATTTGAAAAGGAATGTTCAGACAAAATTTTTTAACAGAGTCCAAAATGAAGGGGAAAATGTTTCGTCGTAGAACAGAATATTGAATGAATTATCTTGAAAGGATTCACGAAATGTTCCAAATTGTTCTCAATTCCTCTCAACTCCTTCCAAAGTAATAACAAATAAACAATCATCTCGCATCAGTCTAGAATTTTCCCGCGTGAGCTTAATTCTTAGCTCGGCAGTCTCGCCTCCTCGACGCAGAAAAGATGAAGAGAAAAAGAAGAGGTAGCCCGCAGAACGATGAGTCGAGCTAACACAAGGGACGATCAACACCCTGAAAATGCGTGAACACACAAGAGGCAGTCACAAAGCCACGCAAACGGATGTGTGCCTACCGATCCAGTGAAGAAGGAAAAAGAAGTAAAAAAAGAGCAGAAATAAGATAGAGGATTACCAGGTATGCTGGTGGAAACCGTGGAGTTTGAGAAACGAAAGAAAAGTGCTGAGCCATCGTTTTAATATTTATTTATCGATGCTTCAAGTCAAGTTTCTCGTCGAGTGAGATGAGACACAGAGGGACTGAGAGAGAGTGAAAGAAGTCTGGGGACTTGATAATATGCGCCGACATCTTCTGGATCAGCATAACTAAATAATCTCGAGACAGCACCGCTCCCCCTTTTCTGTCACTTTATAATCCAAATGTAGGATAATGTGTACCACTAACTCCAGCCTCTTTACGGCATTACATTCATCGTAAATGGAATGAGAAGAATGACATTACCATAAACTTATTCTTTAGAGCTGAGAAAAATTGTTGGAGAAATTTGTTTTCTTTGATTTTGACGCCTGGTGGGAGACGAATTACACGCGTGAAAAATTGACCACCTAGAACGATTTCGTGTAAACGCAGTCTCAAGAATTTTAGGATCGTGGGGGCTTTAGGTATGTATGGTTGATCGTGTCGTATAATATCATGAGTGGATCTACCTGGAAAGGAGACACGATGGACACCCGTATACCGCTGGCATCATGCTGATCATCTACCTGGTTCTACCAGTCCTTTTATTTTTGTCCGTGCGCAGCCATTGG